AATAATCATGAGCATCATGCATTTTCATTATTTATGATTTAAGGCATTTTCATCATAATATTATGCATTTTTATCATAGATATCTTATATATTTATCCTTAAATATCATGTATTTTCATTATGAAAATTTTTCTGTCATTAATATCTATCACGATATTTATGATGAATATTTTCATTATTTAGTGTTTCTTGTCATGGATAATTGCTTCCTCAGGTTCTGGATGAATTTATGGTTCTCATTTGCCCCAATACTATATATATTTAATATAAACTTACCGTGATACTTGTGAATATAACTCTGTATTGTGTGAAGGTAGGTGGAGGTTGTCGCCTTCCCGGAATATGACGTAACATTCGAATATACAGTTTTAGCTCATGTGAAGGTTACCAACTTCAGAAATATAACGTAACATTCTCAAAGTATAAGGGTGCTGTAAGTCCCAAATTAGCAACAAATGGAGAAACTCCATATAAAATTAGAGAAGAGATAGCATGAAGAACATTTAATCTAATAATCTCAACTCGTTGGCATAATTACAATGGAGGGGACATAGAGAGAATTACACACAATGATTCAATCGACTCTCATAACCTCACGTTGTGTGTGTGTGTAATTCCTATCTCACACATGATAAAATGGCCCAAGACACCTATTCATAGTGTTAAATTAGGGTCCATTTACAAATATTAATCCCAAGCCCATGTAAACAACCAAAGCCCAAGCCCATGATAAAATGCCTCTTGTTCTTAGTAACTTCTTGGTCGTTCAACTTTGTTTATGGTCTATTATGACCAGAGCTTCTGGTCCATATAATCAAAGCTTCTGGTCCTTCATAGCTTGCCTCTGGTCCTTCATGGTTTGCCTCTGGTCTTTGATAAAAAAAGTTTCTTGTACAACAATGTTACACCAACTTCGAACCTTTTTGCACCATCATACCTCTGGAGTTTGCAAAAGCTCAAAGAAGAAAAATTGTAAAATGGTCTGTTAGCTGTTAAAAGAATTAGGAATCACCTTTTTTGGAGTTCGGACGAAGAAGATATGATCGATGTAGCACAGTCGTGCAGATATGTCCAGCAGCTTCTGGTTCAACGTGTTAGCTTTTGATTGAGACCCTTCTTCTCTAAAGCACACAATTCATAAGAGGCTCTGGTCCTTCACTCCAGAGGCTATGGTTCGACAATTCAGAGGTTCTGGACCTTCTATGAAGAAGCAGATCTGACTCCAATATAACAACTTTACATCAGTGACCCTTATACAGTTTGAATCGCTGAAAACTTAAAACATGAAACTTGTAGACCCTTCTGTTTTCTAAATAGGGCATTTTGAATCGACTCAATTGGTGCTATGATGAATGAGATATAATGAATTTACTACATCACAATTCTATCAGCATGCTGATTTTCATATTATCATCATAAGAAAGAGAAGCCGATCTCCATTAAACTTTTAGAACAAAAATTACAAATAATCAAGTTTCTGATTGATCATTTCAGAAAGTTGATGCTAAGCAATCAAAGATCTAAAATCCTTTTCAGATCTGATATTGAACAATCAAAATAGAATCGAATCTTCTTACGGGCATTTCATCAGACATGTAGAGTACAGGACCAGATTTTGTAAAGAATCAAGAGCATCTAACCTTAAATCTTCTCCATCAATCATCACATCCGAGATTGAATCCCAAACAAACTCAAAACAGCCTTCAAATGAAAACTATCACAGAAATGATACCTTGAGTTTCAGCACATATGATTGATCATTCTTTAAAATCCAAATCACGAATTTAATCTTTCAAATCTTCAATTGTTGCCATAGATGACCGATTGAAGTAGATTCACTTCAATTGGCTCTGATACCAAATGTAAGTCCCAAATTAGCAACAAATGAAGAAACTCCATATAAAATTAGAGGAGATAGCAGGAAGAACGTTTAATCTAATAATCTCAACTCCTTGACATGATTACAATGGAGGGGAAATCGAGAGAATTACACACAACGATTCAATCGATTCTCATAAGCTCACCTTTTGTGTGTGTGTAATTTCTATCTCGCACATGACAAAATGGCCCAACACATCTATTTATAGTGTCAAATTATGGTCCATTTACAAATATTAAGCCCAACCTATGTAAACAACCAAAGCGCAAATTACAAGATACTTTATAAAACTTTCATCTAATTTGGGAGCTAATTAGGTCCAACAGGTGCCTTCACTATTCTCTAACCTTCTCACGAAAATATAAAATTTCTCACGTGATCCCAAATCTATGTATACATGTATATGCATACACGTATTATTTATATGTATGTATGTATGTGTATGTATGTGTATATATGTGTCTATATATATGTATCTCAAGTGTGTATGTCTTCACTATTCTCTAACCTTCTCACGAAAATATAAAATTTCTCACGTGATCCCAAATCTATGTATACATGTATATGCATACACGTATTATTTATATGTATGTATGTATGTGTATGTATGTGTATATATGTGTCTATATATATGTATCTCAAGTGTGTATGTCTAATAATTATATGTTTGCCACATCCATGCTATGTCTGGTCCGAACCAAAAGAAAACAAACCCAATGAATCTTATACAAAGTGAGCTCTAGGGAGGGAAAGACGTATGCAACCTTTCCAAGAGGCTAAAAGGTTGTTCTCGTGAATAATTCTTGCTTGTGAAAAAGATTTTGTGAAGATTAGAACTAACAAAAGAAAGAAAAGAGTTTCGAAGTGTTGTGAAAAGCATGAAGCACATGGGTGAAATGAAGTACACACATTAAATAACATGAAAAATGTTTAAACAAGTACAATAAGTACATATAGTCATTACAAAAAATATTCTTAGAACAAGTAGGAGCAGCAAAAGAAGAAACTGAAGTGATAGTCGACTAGGCAACTTAACAGGTAAGTGGCCTAAAAGACCCCTTCCTAACAAAACTCACATAGGACATGGGGGGCGTTTGGTTCACATAATGAAATTTGGTGGAATTGACATCCAACAAAGGATTTTGACTTTGAAGGAGTTAGTGGAATTTGACCACACGTTTGGTTGGTAGGAATTGGAATGGATTTTCGCAAAAGATTGGAATCTGCATGTGTTGAGGTTGGTTTTGGGTGGGGGGGAGTTGTGATGACGATAATAGTGGTGTGGTGTCGGGGCCGGGTGTCGGATGTGGGGTGTGGGTGGGTGGCGGTTGTGATGGCGACAATAGTGGGGTGGTGGTGCGTGGGGGTGGTGGTGGTGACGACGGCGGTGGGAGCAAAGATGTTGCCGCACGGTGGGGGCCTATGCAGTCAATAGCGTAACGCGGTCCTAAGTAGAGTTGCGGTTCAAAAATAGAGGTGGTTTATAGCGGTGCTGCAAATAGCGGCGCTCTTCACCGCTATTGCACCGCGATTGTTGCCATATTAGCGGTCCACTATAGTGCAATTATTCTTCGGCCATTTTAGTGTTGAGGCTTTAGGTTTTTTTATTTTTTGGGCTTGTTTTAAATTTTTATGGGCATTTTCTTACTTCCTACTTGATATTTTAATTATTTTTGGGCTTAGTTTTGACGTAGCTTAGAAACAACTTAGACTTTTTAGAGTTTTAGTTGACCTAAATTAAATCAATCGTCCCTTTCCATCATCAAAGGATCTCGACTTTCTATCACTATGTTGCTTGTGTTGTTTGGAACTTTGAATTATTTGTCTTGATATGTATTAGGCATACAATATGTTAATATATATGTATTCATATTTATTTTATGAACCTAATGTTTTTTTACCACTATACCACCATGATAACCGCGATTTCAAATCAAGACCCCGACTGCGATTTCCGCAATCGACTGTGTTAAATGTTTAGGGTCAGAGATGTTGGCACACAATGGGCGCGACACCGGGGGGGGGGGGGGGGTTGTTGAGGTTGGTTAAGGAGGTGGTGTTGTTAAATGGGATACAAAAATATTTGTCTTTCTGGATCCAAGTTATAATATTTGCCACAAAATGGAATTCAAATCTTTCACATATGTCAAGGAATGATCAAATCCCTCAACCATGGAATTGGGCGGAATCTGATCAGTTCAAAGGAATCTGTCATTTGAGTTCCATCAAATTCCTTTCACTTTCGTGAACCAAACAACCCCTATTCCTAGCTGTCAGCTCTCTAACCCTTCCCAACCTACCTACTACCACATTACCGATAGGTCCTCTGTCCTCACACCAAATCTGCTACCCTTCTTACATTTCTAGAAAACTATATGAGGTCAACTCTTTAGAAATGAGTAAAGCTTCTTGTCTCAGTTGTTCATTCAATGCCCATTCTCTTCACTCCCTCAATTGCTCTGGTACCTTCTTGTTACACAATACTCCCATGGCAACTCTCCATCTTTCTCACCCTGCCTTTATGCGGTGTGCAATGTCATTCTAACCTCTCCTTCCTAAAGCATGGAACATAGGTATTTGGAACTGTTCCTTTGTGCTCCCCAGCATCGACTTACACACCCTTGTCACTACCTTCCCTACTGAAGTTGCACCAAAGGTATATGCTCTTAGAGCGATATTGTGCAAGCCTGTGTTTCCAATGCCACCTTTCACTCTTCCAAGTTAGCATTCACCTCCATTTCATCTTTGCAACTGTTACAATGTCGTCCCCAAATAACATAAACCATGAGGCACTCCCTTGAATCGGTTTTGAGATCTCTTCTAACACGACGGACCTCGTACTTTAAGATTTGATGAACCCAACCTCATGTCTGTAAATTTTGAAACTGTACAATTGCACCAGAATATATGTAACATCAGTAGTTGTTGTGTAACTCGCTTCTAGAAGGGATCATCAGTAGCCACCCTATGTCATTGTTTTGTTTCTAGTTTTTTAACGAGACAAGTATTTAATGTGCTTGGATGATCCAAGTCTCTCTCTCTCTCTGCATCTCTCTCTGTCTGTGGTTTCTGAAAGCAAATGATGATTATTGGATCATTGTTTAAGAGATTTCTTGTTCAGGTATAGTGGAATAACAAGTGAGATGTTGGATGGAGTCACCACAACTCTAAGAGACGTTCAGGTTCCCCATGTTTCCCCTTGTTTGAACATCTGTCGTCTAGTTTCTATGGCCGCCTTCTATTGTGAAGATATTTAGTGCTGATAATATTCTTTTTGTAAATTAACCAACCATGCTTCCCATTCCAGGAAGATTTTTTACAAGTGGTCAATAGAGAAACAATTTTGGTTGGACATTCATTGGAGAACGATTTATCAGCTTTGAAGATCTCCCATAGTTTGGTGATCGACACTGCCATTTTATATAAGCATTCACGTGGCGGAACATACAAAATTGCTCTTCGTGTGCTCACTAGGAAATTCCTCTCCAGGGAGATACAATATTCCGGGAACGGCCATGATAGTATCGAGGATGCAAAAGCTGCAATGGATTTAGCGTTGTTAAAGATCAAACATGGTAAGTGACTTGTTTGCTTTGTTTTTCCTGTGGTTAAAACCGTTGTATTTGATGGCTTGTTTATGGATGCTTTCTTTTTCCATTAACTATTTAACAAATACTTTCACCAAATGGTTTGTTTATGGATAGTGGATGGATGCATAGTGCTTGAAGATTGCTTTGTGGCTTGAGAAGTGATAAGATGAGCCACTTATGTAACAGGGGAAAAACTGACTATTTAACAGCTACTTTTACATGTTTCTGTTATCATATTATGCAGTTTATGAAATTTTTTATCCACAACTGTACCCTGTTTTCTCCCCAAAAAACTTGTACATATACCTTGACACATCTGCGTAATGTCTCACATCTCTATGACTTGTGTCCTTTTTATGCATGCTTGTAGGTTCTTAGGAGTTTTTGTTATACTATAAGGAATAACGTCCAAGTCCATTCGTCTTCTATTGTAGCTTTATTTTTTGATTTTGTTAAACTGAACATTTTTTACATATAAGCAGATGTTCCCCAAAAAGCACTGGATGTGCTCCAGCTGTCCAGCATGCTTAATCTTATTTTCCACGAGTTTCTAGTTGGGGTGTGCATAAAGTGTAATACAAAAATTTGAATTTTAGTTCAGTTTAAATTCGTTTTCTCATAGTCGGTAGGTGATTGTGATCTATGCCTTACGGGTTATTGCTGCACATTTGCTATACACACATAAATGCATAAAACACTTTATTTCTGAAAAATTTATACGAGTTATAAAGATATCCAGAGAGTGGATCAAAAGGATAACCTCTGAGGCAGAATTAAGACATATTATGACAAACTAGGTGAGTTGCATCACCATATGATTACAAAATAAGAGATTTTGATTTGTTTGTTGATGAGGTGGCACCTGGATTTGAACTGGGAAAAAGGGATTTGCAGTCTCCTGACTTACCACTCTGCCATATTGCCAAGGGTGCTATTTTGACAAGGCTATTCAAAAAAACTGAAACCACAACCAAAAGCTTACGAAGCATACTGAATTTTGGGTTAACTGACCAATTCAATTATTTTAATCGGTTTGGTCGACTGGACCAGATAATATTTGGTTTTTTTGATCCGGTGTAGGTTCACTGTTTCTGAGGTGCAATTAACCCAAAAACCGAAATAATAATTCAGCATACTGATAGAAAGAAAAAAATCATTTTTTTGAAGTATATAATATTTATATACGGAAAATGCAACAAATAAACTCACATACCCTCCTCACCATTGTTGAGGTTTGAACCCCTGACCTCCTAGGAGACCAGAGACTACGATACCGCTAGGCCAAAGACCCTTTGGTAAAAAAATCATTTTATTGGGGCCATTTTGATGAAACTAGTGACGTAAATAATTTTAAATGCAAGTACCATGAAAAGTGATCCTTTATGTGTCTAAAATTGGGACAAGTGCTATGACCTCATACAGAAAGACGTAAGCTATTACCTGCCTATTTGGATAAGAAATGTGAACTCGATTTTGATTATGAAACAATTGTCAACAAGGGTGTATCACTTGAAACACCAAGTGTCTCTTGTCGTGGTGTGTTTCTTTCATGGCCTTGTTAGGAAAGTGATTGTTAAGATGACTATTGTGGATAGTGTACCTTTTCTTCATATCATTTTTTTGCAAAGTTTTATGTCCTCATTTTAGTGTGCCTTCACATTCGACTGTGAATAGAGAATGTTATGTGATCACTTTATTGATGAAAGGTAGAAACTTAAGACTTGTTTGAAGAGTTTGTTTTTGAGAGTTTATCTCTACTGATACTTCGGCTTCGGGTCCGAGTGTGAGACATTTCTCTTGCTATCCATTTCATTGATGATGGTTGGTAGTTACATAAAAGGATAGTCACTTTGTGCTGTAGCTGGCCATAGTGGTTTATTGGGTAGGTTGTTCAGAAGATTTTAACTTGATGAGATCTTTAAAGAAATTGACCATCATAGTAGACAATGCAAGTTCAAGTGATGTGGTCTTTCAGTATTTGAAAAGAAGAATCAATCACTAGGTAATTGCGTGAGAAGAATCAACTGCTTTTTGGAGAAGATGACGGCACCACTGCCGAATATTAGAAGACTCAATTTATTTGTTTTGATGTTGAAAGTAGACAGGATTCCATTTTTTTTTTCTTTTTTGATGTTTTAAAGTGCCTTTGAAACGTATATTGATATTTTATAATATCAAATCTGAAGGCAGTCCTTATGCTTAGGAGCTTAATAAGTATATGATGATTGATTGTTAGCAGCTTCTTACCTTTTCTATGAATCTTTTTATTAGATCACTCTTAAGTTGAGTATTTGATTTCCACCTACTGTGATAGTGAGGGTGGCAACACTAAGAAAATGACAAAGCACATGAAGGTCAAATACAACAAATGTTGGTCTAATATTGATAATGCCAATGTTTTGCTATTTATTGTCTTTTGAATAATGTTTATTAAGCTTATGTTAAATGCACAGAGATTTAGAAAATATTCTGTATTGAAACACTTGGAATGGTATTGTATGATGATACTCTTCTCTCCCTACTGGGACGAAACGCTATTTTGAAATATGCCTCATTATCATGAAATTATAGCCTGGCAGCAGCATAAAATTTGAAATTAATTGCAACATGTAATCTATAAAGGCATTAGCAAGTGGTTAAATTGAGTCTGTGGTTAACTTTTTTTTATGTTTAGTTCAAGAAAATATAGAGCCATGATTTCGGTCAACCAAAATGAACCTTCATTTTTGTTTTGTTACCCTACCATGAACACCCCTAGTTTTTGCCATGGGATCTTTGGGCACTTTTGGTGGGCAATTATTGTATCAAGAACGCCCCTCTGCTTAAAGGTCATTCACCTTAAATCATTAAGGTGCCTCTGTAATGTGTTTTCTTGTAGTGGTTTTTGGAAAAAGCTGATTTGGGTGACAAGACCCGTAGATGGAATAGTTGTTCTTTGGATGATCTCTTATCGACCATGAATTGACTTGAATGCTAAAAGATGCTGTTATTTTTAGAATTCCATATTCTACCAATGGTTGATCTTATCTTCTCCAGTTACATGTTTTGATGAATGAGTATTTGTATGCATTTTATTTTCTTGAGTACCATATATGAGCTTACATGCCTGGAATCTGATGATTTTGAAACAGGACCTGATTTTGGCCGACCTCCATCATTTATGCGGAAAAAATTCCTTACAGTTTTAAGCGACTGTGGCAAGGCCACATCTTTTATTGATAATATATCGATAGTGAAGAGATATGCTTCGGAATCATCACATTCCATTCCAGTGACTTCTGATGATGAAGCTCTATCAAAAGCCATCAAAGAGGTAATGTGTATCGTTGTATTTATTTATTTCATCGTGTCTTGGAAGCTGTTACTTTCATCAAGTAACACTACATTAACTGTTTGTCCACAGGTTAAAAACGACAAAGTACACTTTGTCTGGGCACATTTTACGGAACTGAGTTCTTATTACAAGAAGCAAGCAGAGGATGCTGAAGCATTGAATAGAAAACTTGCTGAGATGATGGCGTTGCTTACTTGCAATAAGAAGTTCAAGGGTAGAAAAAGCATCAAGTACACCGTCACTCCTGATTTGAAGGACGTTCTTAATCGCTTAAATATCAGAATAAAAAATATTTACTCCAATTTACCTACCAATGCCATGCTAATAGTTTGCTCTGGTCATGGAGACACTGCAATCGTTCAAAGGTACATATTTTTACTCACATTTCATTACATTTTCATGGTATCGTTGTTATGGAAAGTTACTTATGCATGGATCTGATGATAATTAACACATGATTATAAGCTTCTGTCCATCAAAAGGGAAGTGCCTAGTTTTCACGACACGATTTACAGATTTTTACAAAAGCTTTTTTTATATAATCCATGAGGCTCTTGAAAATTGCAACAAGTTTCTTTTATGGGATGTCCCCTGAAATTTGCAGCATTTCTCTTTCTTGTAATAAAATTACCTCTAACTCCCTCCGTCCCAAAATAAGTGTCCTCATTTCTAAATTAGTTTGTCCCAAAATAATTGTGTTTTCAAAAGTCAGGGGTCTACCAAACGCTTAACCGGTTAAGCGTTTACCAAGTCACATTACTTTATCGGATGAATATGGCAAGGACCAAGAATCTTACCCAGTAAGAGCAAAGGCAAGGACCGAGAGTCTTGCCGGGTAAGTGAGGGATACTACTCTTACCACGATTAGTGCTTACCGGGTAAATTGTTCCATACGATACCGTTTTGGTGGACTAAAGTCTTACCCGGTAAGTAAGTGATAGTGTTGAATTTTGCTGGTACGCACTTACCTGGGTAAGCATTTGGTAAACGGCCCTTTAGTTCCTACTTTCCAATTCTACTCTTAATTATGAGATAGAGAAATCCATTACTCTCTATTTCTTAAGGGTACAACTGTCATCGAGTTAATTAAGAAGTGTAGTAATTACACATTTCTAGAAGTTTCTCTCTTTCGTTGTGGATATTTATTTTTGGGAGATGGAGTAGCTAATTATCATAGTTACATATTGATTGTTGCCATCAATTTGTATCCACAAGCTTTCTTTATTGTGTTCTATTGAAGGGCATCTTATAAATATTTGACAAATGTCAATTTCCGGGCGGCTATGTTTTGTAAGTCAAAATTTAATGGTTCGGAGTACATAAAAATGCTATAATACAGGATAAAACAGCCTAATGTCTGTCTCTTTTATTTGTATTACCATGAAGGAAGAATTATTTGTTCGTCTGGTTTCTCTTTTAACATTTGTATGATCAAATATATAAACTGGGGATCTTTTACGGAAGCATCCTCTCTACCCCTCGGGATAGAGGTAAGGTTTGTGTAGGATCCATTATGTTGGTTTGGTTTGGTATATATGTATGATCAATATATCTGAAGTCTTCATATTTGTCTAGATGATTATTCTAACCTGATTGTACGACATTGATGCAAGGGTAATTTGGGTACTTGGTTAATGTTCTACTCGCTTAAATTATCGGTGTCAAATGTTGAGATACTTGTCAGACGGCAAGAGTGATATAAGATGGCAAGGGTTAAATTTCTAGTTTAATATTAGGCTTTTTAATTATTAGTCAAATATTTCTTAAAATACCCTTTTAATAATGAATAAAAATATACAATCTGTACCCAGGATGCTAAAGAGTCGCTATTATTCACACGGGTTGGGTTCCGATGAGAACGGAAGTTATAGTGAGAAGGGCAGGAAAGGATCTTCACCCTTGGATCAATTCTAATGGAAGATCAATACCAACGCGGTGCACCGAGATGCACCGGAAGGAGTTAGATTAAAAGTGATCAAGGTCCAGATCCGTTCTTACGCTTCTTACCACAACTTCCATTCTCACACGATCCTTCGTCTTATTCACACATGATGTATGCCTTGATTTCATTTTCGATTACTAGATGCTATCTAACGGTTGTCTGATGTGCATGGATGAAGATTGAGGAAAATGCTTGCAGAAAAGGTCGACACAAACATACCTCGGGATCATCTTGTAAAGGTCCTGGAAGAGCTGCAGGCACAAGCCGAAGTAGGTTTGTGTTTTGTTGGTGTCAAACATTGAGTTGGCTTCACAAGCCATGTATTCTAATATTCTTGCTTTCAATGAAATTCGGCCACTGTGTTTGTTTGGATCATAGATATCACAAAAAAGGCTTTTTTTGGGGAGTACGTGAATATTTGCAGATCGTGGAACAAAGAGAAATATGATGACTTTATCTATTTGAGTGTTAATGAAATGTCGATTTGTCTCTAGATGCTTAACTATTTCAATTGCAGCCTTGCTATCACAATAAGGTGGCATAGCCGTTTTTCACATGAGACCCAAACCATTTCACAAAGTCGAGGCGAGGTTTGGAACTTTACTGCGAGCCGGGCTTTTAGAGATGATTCAGCATTAATTAGGTTTTTCAAGTAACCGTCTTATTACCTACAAATGTGGAGTACCCTAAAGAAGACTTACGGCCTGTCATGTCACTACCCCAACTTGGGTATCCAAATAGTTGTGTTTAATTTGACTCGAAGCTTGGTATAAAGCGGTTTTATTAACTTACTAGATGCGTATTTGTGTAATGTTGTTAGATATATTTCGATTTTAATATTTTATTTTATTGTCTTTATTGATATAAAATGGTTTTGTATGATTTTAAGAAAATGATAATTGTTTATTTTTTTTAAATAAAATATAAATTTGAAGACCTCATCAAAACATGGAAAAAATATGTCGATATTAGTATCATAGTGAGATACATATTGATTTTAATGTTCCATTTTATTCAGTCTTTGTCTATATAATATGGTTTTGTATGATTTTGAGAAAATGACAATGGTTTATTTTTTAATAAAATATAAATTTGAAGACCATATAAAAACTTGGAAAAAATATGTCGATATTAGTATTAAATTAACTATTTTAAAATTCTCATTTGTTTGGTAATTTCATAGTTCAATTTTTTATTTATTTAATTATGTTTAATAACAAGTAAATTATTTTTGGTTTAATAATATAATTCTTATAAAAATAATTAACCAGAGCCTCTAAACTCATTTTTGAGCATATTTCTTAATAAAATCAAGTCTTTGTCATTCTTGAACATCTAGTTGCACTATCCAGAGTTTATGTCTCTCGTCTTTTATCACCAATTGATGTTTTAAGTAATCACTAGCTACCAGAGCATTTCATCCCTACAGAGTCTGATGCTCTTGAACTATGATTTTTGTATATATCTCATCATTTTTATTTAGTATAGTTCAAGGGGGAGCATTTGTAACGCAGATAAGGGGAAGCACCTATAAACTAATACTTATTGTTGCACCAGGAGCCGTTGCACTAGGTGCCAAAGCGTAGCTTTTGGTATCCATTCAGCAAAATTTACTTTACAGAGCTTCTGGTTGTATAGACCTGGGCTTCTAGTACTCTAAGTTACTAAGAATCAAAGCCAGAGATATCGTCTATTATATCCAGAGCTTCTGATCATCACATTATTCAAGGTATGACTTCTAATCTATAAGGGAAACCATATTCTTAAAAAATGAAACCTCTTTTGGTTACAAAACTTTTCAACGACTTAGAACAACTTTAATTTGAAACACCAGAGCTTTCGGCATTTCCACTTGGTTGTTTTATGCATCTCTTTAAACCATAAGTCAATTTTCAAATGCTTTTATGGGTTCTTTTGTATGTTACTTGTCCAAAATTGCATATGGTCAATATCCAGAGGTTTTGTTTGTACTTAACCTCTTCTAGACATCAACACTTGTGTGCTTTTTCTCTATTGATCATGGTATGGGTGAAATACCAAATGTGATCATCATGTCACTATAATATTCCCACGATCACACGTGTCAAACCCCTATGGTCTGTATAAAAAATAGTTCATTTCATACATCTTTTCAAGATGCCATTAAAATAAACATTGGAGTGCTTTTTCCATATAACTACATTTCAACCCCCTTGTGACATCCATCAATTCTGGAGTTTCAGGTTATCAGCTATTTAAGGTTTCTAAAATTAGAAATATATTTTTTTCTAGGGTTTAGTCAAGTTGATTAGAGCTCAACTGGCTTAGATTCCCGACATTTAGCCCATAAAATCCTGTTTTAGCAGATAATAGATAAAGTTAACTTATGTAGTGCCAAATACACTAAAATTTCTCCAAACATGATAAAAGTTGATAATATAAAGTCCAAATTTAAAAATATAAAAGTCCTATCTAAAAGTTCAAACAACTTTGCAAAAATTAGAAAATTTGACCTAATACTCATTTTTTATCACAATTTTAACATTTTATTTTTATCTAACATTTCAATGGGCTTTGTGTAAAAAATATATATACATATTAAAGTGTGTGGACTTGGGCTTATGGCTGGTCACATGATGTCCCACACATAGCCCACATATAAAACTAAGTGACTCTTTGATTTCTTCCCACTTTTAGCTTATTTTCCATGCAAAACCACCTAGAATCCTCTCTAAGTCTCTTCTTCTCCCCAAAACCACTTCAGCCAAATTTGATGTAAAAACATTCTTGGTTTCATTTGCTCTTGAAGAACATTGAAGAGGACAAGTGTTAGCAAGCAAGGTAAAGAGTTATTTTCAATACTTTAGCACTTTAGCATATCTTTTCTCATCATTTTCTACACTCTTTGTTCTCCATTTAGACTCAACTTTCTGGAGGTTCTAGATGAGAGATTATACATCAAAGACATGAAAGATGTCTTCAAAATGGTGATAATCCATGACCTATAGTCTTAGAACTCAAGAAAGTAGGGTAAAACCACATTGCATGTGGATTTTAACCCTCAAAAGTGGTATTTTGGTGCTGACAGATTGCTTATTAGCACTTTTGTCGTCCATATCTCCCAAAATAATAGTCCAAATGTTATGATAATTTTTTTTTAAGTTTATTTCTTTGAGTTGGGGTTCTATTCCAACCGGAATTATATAAAAATGTTGAGTTTTGACCCCTCAAATACATAGAACAAAATGAGTGTGCGAACAGTAGGTTCAACAGTAGGTAAACCCTACTTTGAACACTCATAATTGATAACTTTTCCAAAATGTTGATATTTTCTTCTGGAGTTTATTTTGACGAGGTTTTGTTCATATGCCTCTGGTTTAACTCGAAAATATTGAGTTTTGATCCCTAAATTCTTGATACAAGTTTATGGTGCAAAAAGATAATTTCAGACAGAACCTTGCATGCATGTTCAAAATACCATAACTCTATCTAAACTTAATGAAAAAGAGTAATTCTTTGTCTGGAAGTTTGGTTTATGAAATAACTTTGTAATCCAATTGGAATCACCGAAAAATATTGAGTTTTGACCTTCCAACTAACTATAACTTTAAAAGGGTGCAAACTGTCCAAAGAATTTTGACACTTAAAAATATGAAGGACAACTTAGTGACTTAAACTCATCCAAATTTTATGAAACTTGGATAAAGTATGTTTAACACAGTAATATTAGTGGTACAAAAATTTGGACACAAAAATAGTTATGGAAGGTACCTTTTGATGATGATTTGTAAGACCAAAATTCCAGAAAATCAAAATAACTTTCTGCCCAATTGTAATTTTATGTAAAAAGGATTTTAACTTTTAAATACATAAAATATTGGACAATTTAAAGGCCAACACATATAATATCAACTTTAAATCATGAAAAATCAATGGCATTAGATAAGATAAAAATTAAACTTTATCTATATCTAGACCCGAAAAGTGAACTAATTGTCTACTTCGGATTTCTTAGGAAAGGTTAGGCCGGAAGTTTAGAGCAACTACGCCAACAAACTATTGGATTATCGCTAGCTAATCGGTGAGTAATCACGGCCCCTTTTTACTGCTTTGATTATTGAAAATTGGGGGAAAAACATGAAAATTTGCAAACTGAACTGTTTAGTTGAAAACTGTTGAAGTTATGAAAATTGACTATTATTACACTATGGTATAAATGATAAATTGATGTACTTGAGTTTAAATGTAAAAAGTCCCCACCGTGTATGCTACTAGTTAACTCGGGAAAGAGCCTGTCCGATAGTAATTGTGAATAGCGCTATTGTGATTTGACAGTCCCATCGAGGGCGGGTGCACATTACTATTTAAGTAGTTCTACTCATGTGTGCGAACGGGCCACCACTGAGGTAGTTCTATAGACGAACCGTGGTACCTAAGTGAGCGAGCAGGTCACTTCATGGTAGTTCATAAAATGTTAAGGGCGTATTGGTCGAAACGGATCTGTAGTGGCTCGAGTTTAAGCATCGTTAAAATTTTCATTTTACCTTGTGCAAATTTTACGTGAATAGTCTGCAAAGAATGAATTTCTGCATAATGATGTTTTTGTGCATATGAAAACCTGTGAACTTACCAACTCTTTGTAGTTGATCTTTTAAATCATCATGCTTTTCAGGAATTTCAAAAGTAAGTATTGATCGCCGAGAAGCTTGAGAGAAAGCATACCTACATGAATTCGTTTTTCCCCTTGTTTAAATTAAAGGATGTACTTTATATCTTAAAAACGATGTAATTTGTACTCCATTTACTTAATTTATAAAATTATGTTGATATTGTCGTTTACCTTATGCCATGAAACCTTAAACTGTGACACCTCGTGTTTCCGCTTTAGCGGGGTATGACACCCCCCCCCCCAATTTTCATTTTATGCTCTTAGTTTCTCTCTCTAGAGTTTGTTTGTGCTCAATCTTTCTTTGAACTCTCAAAAAATTTGCAACGATGGCCTCCCCTGCTAATTCTGACAACTCACATGCATCCCATGAAGATGAAAGTGTGATTCGCTCACCTGAAGGAACGAGCAACACCATTGTTCTCCTTCCTATCAAATCCAACAATCACCAAGTTGACTTAAGATTCCATAACTAAAATGAGGACTACTTTATGATGACAAAGTATCTTCAAAACCATTTCTTTGAGACTGGTTTAACCCAAGTTGATGTCAACATCCCTGTTTGATACGTCCAACAATACTCGCAAACCTGCGAATTTAGTTATGAAGCAAAGGCTATCATGGGAGTAATCGATGCCCCAAATGACATGGAGTGTGGGATCAAGATTTCCCGCAAGAAGGTATAGCAAGTCCTTGCAGTTCCTACCAACCAAGAACTTGAGATTGCCAAGTATGATTACATGCCTACCTCAGATGAAGTTTTAGCCTTCCTGAAATTCATAGGGTATAATAAAAACCTAACTGCTATGTCTCAATTTAAGAGG